AGGTTTTTCAGGCAAAATAAAAAATGAAGTATAACTGCACCTTAAACTCTTGGTCAAAACAAAAAGACAAAGGCTATTTAAATTTTATATCAAAATACACTAGTCTGGCCAGGTGCAGTGGCTCACTCTGGGAAGCCAAGGTAGAATCACTTGAGCGTAGGAGACCAAGACCAGCCTAAATAACATGGCAAAATCCCACTACAAAAAATACAAAACTTAGCCAGGTGTGGTAGCATGAGCCTGCAATCCCAGCTACTTGGGAGGCTGAGGTGGGAAGATCACTTGAGCCTGGGAGGCAGAGGATGCAGTGAACTGAGATCCCTACCACTGCACTCCAGACTGTGTCTCAAAAACTAAATAAATAAATAATGTTTTTTAAATAAGAAGGCAAAGTCAGACAAGTGACAGACTGGAAAAATATTTACAACACATGAGACACAAGGGCTTAGGTGCCATTATGTGTTATATATACAACCACAGGATAGATATTGAACATCAGCAGCCATTAAGAAAATGCAAATTGTTGGCCAGGCTCATTGACTCACACCGATAATCCCAGCACTTTGGGAGGCCAAGGCAGGTGGATCACAAGGTCAAGAGATCAAGACCATCCTGACCAACATGGTGAAACCCCGTCTCTACTAAAAATACAAAAATTAGCTGGGCATGGTGGTGGGCACCTGTAGTCATAGTTACTCAGGAGGCTGAGGCAGGAGAATCGCTGGAACCTGGGAGGCAGAGGTTGCATTGAGCTGAGATGGCGCCACTACACTCCAGCCTGGCAACAGAGTGCGACTCCATCTCAAAAAAAAATGCAAATTACAACCATGAAAAATGTCAAAGTTTAACCATTTCTAGTGCTGATGAGGATGTGAAGGAACTAGAACTCTTACAGGCTGCTGGTAGTAATGCAAAATGATACAACCACTTTGCAACACGGTTTGGCAATTAATGTTTTGTTTCTTTGTAGAGACAGGGTCTCTATGTTGTACAGGCTGGTCTTAATCAAGTAATCCTCACACTTCGGCTTCCGAAAGGGCTGGGATTACAGGTGTGAGCCACAGCACCCAGCCCTACAGTCTGGCAGTTTTTTAAAAAGCACATATTTACCACATGCCTCAGCAGCCCCACTCCTAGGTACAACAGTCCTGACCCCTATCCACAGTTTCACTTCCTGCAGTTTCAGTTACCTGTAGTCTGAAAATATTAAATGAAAAATCCCAGAAATAAACAATTCATTTGTAAGTTTTAAACTGCATGCCATTCTGAGCAGTGTGATAAATCCTGCACAGTTCTACCCGGACATAAATCACCCCTTCGCCCAGTATATATACATACTGTACACACTATCTGCCTGTTGGTTACTTAGCAGCCCTCTCAGTTATCAGATGGTCTAGACTGTGGCAATATCCCAGTGCTTGTGGTAAAGCAACCCTTATTTTATTTAACTGTGGCCCCAAAGTACAAAAGAGTGATGCTGACATATTGTTAAAATGGTTCTGTTTAATATCAGCTATGTCAATCTCTTACCGAACCTAATTCATAAATTAAACTTTATCATCAGAATGCATCATGAAAAAAACATGGTATATACAGAGTTTGGGACTATCCACAGCCTCAGGCATCCACTAGGGGTCTTGGAACACATGCCCTGCAAATAAGAAGGGTGCTGCTGTATTGACACAACGTAACGAAAGCATCTGTTGACACAAAGGCTTGAACGTGAATGTTCACAGCAGCTTTATTTATAACAGTCCAAACTAGAAACAACTGAAATGTTCATCCACTGATAAATGGATGGACACACTGTGGTATATCCATACAACGGAATACTGCTTAGCCATAAAAAGGAATAAACTATGGATACATGCTGTAACAACATGGATAAATCTCAGAATAATTATGCTGAGTAAAAACAGCCAGACTGGAAAAAAAAAGAACTCAAAGGAGTGCACATCATATGATTCCACTTAAACACAAATCTTGGAAATGCAAACTAGAAAGCACAGCGATTCAGGGCAGACGAGTGGCTGCTGGGGGATGGGGCATGGGGAAAGGGGAACACGGAGATGGGCTGGAGGGTGGGCTCACCAAGTGCACTTCACACTGGAGGGTGATGAGCATGTTGACTGTCTTGACTGTGGCTGGCACGCTGTTTGGAAACAGACAGTCGTTCTACTGGGAGAATACACTGGTACAGCCACTTTGAGGAGTGGCCTATCTGGTGGAACTGAAGATCTGCGTACTTCCTGGCACAGCACTTCTAAGCCTGGGCATAGCCCCCAACGCTGAGATCAGTAAACCGCAGCCCACAGCCTAGACCTTGTTTTTGTAAAGTGTGTTTTATTGCGTACGGCCGCACATGTGCATTTACATTGTCTAATGCTGCATTCATGCTACGTTGGCAGAGTTCAACAGCTGCAACAGAGACCATCTGGTTCAAAAAACCTAAACTATTTACTATCTGGCCCTTCACAGAAAGTGGCCTGATTCTTGCTGGAAGACACTGGCTCTTGAAAGCAACCTGCCTAACAGATCAACAATAAGATGACATTAGAAACTCACAAAATTTCACGATGTACGTGCAAAGTAGAGATACACACCAAGTTCATTCTAGGGACTGCTCTCAGAGGAACGGGCCTGGGGCAGGGGAACAAAGGACTTTGGCTCTTCCTCCATGTTTTCTTTTTAAGACAGCCTTGCTCTGTCATCCAGGCGGGAGTGCAGTGGCGCAGTCACCACTTAATGCAAGCACTGCCTCCTGGGACCCAGCAATTCTTACGCTTCGGCCTCCTGAGTAGCTGAGACTACAAGTGTGCACCACTACGCCCAGCTCATTTTTGTATTTTTAGCAGAGGGGGGTTTGGCCATATTGGCCAGGCTGATCTCAAACTCACGGCCTCAGGCGATCCGCCCACCTTGGCTTCTAAAAATGCTGGGATTACAGGTATAAGCCACCACGCCTGGCCACATTTTAATTCATTAAAAAAAAAAAAAAAGTAGCTGTCCAGGCATGGTGGTTCATGCCTGTAATCCTAGCACTTGGGGAGTCCAAGGCGGGTGGATCACGAGGTCAGATCAAGACCAACCTGGCCAACATGGTGAAACCCCGTCTCTACTAAAATACAAAAATTAGCTGGGCGTGGTGGCGCATGCCTATAGTCCCAGCTACTTGGGAGGCTGAGGCAGAAGTGCTTAAACCCAGGAGGTGGAGGCTGCAGTGAGCTGCGATTGCACCACTGCACTCCAGCCTGGCGACAGAGCAAGACTCGGTCTCAAAAAAATAAAGGTAACAAAAATGTTTTAAGAAGACCAACAAGTTAAAGTCTGATGTTTACCAATATCCTAAAGAAAATCACACAGACGCTTGCTGATTCTCCCCTACCTAACTGTAACATACATCACCCCTGACTTTGAAGTACTCTCTAACTACTCTTTTTCAAAGCAGTGATGTTCACCAAAAAAAGACATTTTTCCTTTTATCTTCTGAAGCCAAAAGATTTATCGATATGAAATAATTTACTCTTCCGAGGACACCTGGAAGCACAATCCTGATATGCTCTGCATAAACATCATAGCTATAAAATTTAAACCAATGGACGCTTCAACGGTGACCTCCACTAGGAGCCTGGAGGAACACATTCAAGGTTTTTGACTGGGTCTCAGAATCACCACCAGGGACACCAGGACCACCCCTCATGCATATGGAAAGGACTATGGTGTATTAACATTCAACAGAAAACAGGCTGTAGAAGGCATTTCTCCTCTCAGCAAGGCAAACTGGTAATGTCAGCAAAGCCTCCTCCGACAACATTCCCAGTTATTATTGTTAAAAGGGCTCCCTCTACTGTTAGTCTCAACTGTACAGTTCTCATTGGCTATTTCAAGCCCTAGCTTCATGACAAACTAGGACATGTTAAGCAGAATTATCTAAAACCACCATTAATTCAGCTGCAGAAAAATACATATATGTGTGCATGTGTGTGTGCATACACCCCCGTATATAAAACTTTTTAAAACTGTTGAGTGATTAGGCTAACTATCCAAAAAACTCCTGTTTAAAAGAAAACAATATATTCTTCGTCTTTAAAGTGACTGTAAGTGATACCTGCCTGTGGCATTTGAGGCACACCCCTCTGGCACACAGGTGCTCGCCCCCATGGCCTTGTGCCCAAGGAAAGGGCAGTGGCTGGCAAGAGGCCACAGGTCCCAACAAAATCACATCACACATGTGTAAGGAGGACTGCAGGGAGCCAGGTATAATAGAACACACATTTAAAACCCAGCCTTAAAAACACTGTGCAGCCTCTTACTTTGCAATCAGCCAGGGCCAGGCAGCCAGGCTCTCGGTCTGCAAACAGAACCTGGGAGAAGGGATGGGCAAAAGGCTGGAAGGGGAGAGTCAGGAAGTCAGAGCTCAACAGGTCTTTGGCTCTTGGCTCCTCAGCTTCCCAAGCAAGCCACTGCCGCCTCCCAAGACGGGGCTGTATACCAGGCCAGGGAAGCAGCCCCACACAGAGAGTCCCACACTTGATATCCTCCCAACTGGGAGCAGAAAGGAATTATTATTTTTTTTCTTTCTGAGGCAGGGTCTCACTCCGTCACCCAGGCTGGAGTGCAGTGGCGCAATCTCAGCTCACTACAACCTCCACCTCTCAGGTTCAAGAGATTCTCCTGCCTCAGCCCCACAGGTAGCTGGGACTACAGGCATGCACCACCACACCCGGCTAGTTTTTGTATTTTTTGCAAAGACAGGGTTTCGCCATGTTGCCCAGGCTTGTCTTGAACTTCTGGGCTCAAGTAATCTACCTGCCCTGGCCTGCCAAAGTGCTGGGATTGAAGGTGTGAGCCACCACACCTGGACAGGAATAGCATTTAAATATGCAAACTGACATCACTAATAATGGTAATTTTTGAAAGACGCTTCTAATGTTTAAAAGTCTGTAAATCCATGAGACAGACTGCTAAAATGCCAGTGTTTACAGAAATCATTTCGTTACCTTCTCCCCAGGTTTGAGTGACTGCTGCAGTTTCTCATAATCTTTCTTAGTCTCCAAAATTTTTTTCACAAGTCCACCTGTTGAAAAATCAGTGATTTTACATTAAAAGCTGATTCTAAATGGGTGGGATGATGGGAAAAACACTAAGTTTTTATCCTATCTCTTTTTAAACAGTTCCAAATCATCTCTGTTTGTCAAGGAGGTAGTATACAAGAGTGATATGACAGCTGGTGGTAGGAATTATAAAATTTCAAAGTGTTTCAGGGAAATAAGCTCCTTGAAAAGAAAAAGCTTTAGAAATAAAACAGATTTTCTCTTTTCAAAGATTAAAAAGGAATGTGGGTTGAGCCAAAAATATTGCCATCTATTATGAACAGAAATAAGAATTATGAATTGCTTCTAAGTTCTAATACTTCTTTTATATTGGGGCAAGAATATTCCATTTCTTTCAGAATTTACCCATGGGATAAAATCCTATGGAAATTGTTTTGAAGTAAGTGTTTCACCCAGGCAGGCATCGGCCTGGGACTGACTGAATAAAAAAGGTACGTGCACTTGGTGGAGGACCGTGCGGCTGTGAAGAGGAATGGGGGAGGTTTCTCTGCATTGCTGAGGAATGAATGCCCGCATCTACTGCCAAGTTAAGAAGAGCAAGATGGAAACAAGTATAGGTATCAGTAAATACACATGCACATGCATATGCACTTATTTATTTATTTTTCAAATGTAAGTATAAGCCCTACTTTTCACTGTTACCTCCAGGGAGAGGGAGAGTAGAGGGTGGAGGAGACAGGGGTCAAAGCCCCACTTTTCTGATTATACCTTGTTTTGTACTTCTGACCTTAAAACCATGTGAGTTATCTTACATTAAAAAGGTAAAGACTCATGCCTAAAGATTGAATGCAAAATGAAATAAACTTAGTGATACCAATTGGCAAGCATGAGCCACTAGAGAAACGTTTCATAACTTTAAAACAGAGTAATTAACTGTACAACCCTAATAGGACATACCCAACAAAGAGACAGACACATCGACCAAAAAAAAAAAAATCTATAGTTTCCAGCAATCCTATCGTTGTTAAAGAACAGTGGTGGTATTCTAAAACTGCTGTGTGAGCATGTGAAGGATCGTAAAGCATGGGGACAGCTGCCGTTGCTGGGAGCCAAGCTTTTTGGCAAGACATGGAAGAAATGCACATATAAAATCACAGAACGCAGGCAGAGCCCTACAATCCTAAATTGGAATTGGAAATATCGGCACCAAGTCAGAATATACTTTCTTATTTTAAAAAACTATATTCCTGCTTTATGCAGTGAAAATGCCTGGAAACAAGAACCCACCCAGAGCAGTAAGCGGCCAGTTTCCTCGGAGAAATGAGGCGGTCATGGGGCAGAGGCACCTTGTCGTGTGAGAAAACAAGGAAGCCACAAACCGTAGTGGGATGTGTCTAAAGGTCCCCAGAAAATAGCTCCAACAGGCTCCTCTGGTCAAATACTGGGCAATCTGAACATTACTAAGAAAAACTGAGAGGGGCTGAAATGAAACACATCCACGATGATAAAAATCTGTGACTAGGCCGGGCACAGTGGCCCACGCCTGTATTCTCAGCATTTGGGAGGCCAAGCCAGGTAGATCACTTGAGGTTAGGAGTTTGAGACCACCCTGGCCAATGTGGCGAAACCCTGCCTCTACTAAAAATACAAAAACTGCCCAGCCATGGTGGCAGGCATCTGTAGTCCCAGCTACCTGTGAGGCTGAGGCACAAGAATCGCTTGAACCTGGGAGGCAGAGATTGCAGTGAGCCAAGATCACACCATGGCACTCCAACCTAGGCAAGAGTGAGACTTCGCCTCAAAAAAATAAAAAGATTCATACAGATACCAAAAAAACCCCAAAACCAATAATCCCTCATTAGTCACCTGTGATGGGTGCCAGGAAACAAAGTCATATTGTGGGAAATAAAGGGAAAGTATTCTGCCTGCCTCTTCCACAGAGGAGTATCCTCTTCCTGGATACTCAAACCCTGGTGCAGGGAGCGGGGTTTGCACTACTGAGTTGAACAGCTAGAAAACCAACAATAACATCCAGAATTCGACTTGGGAAGGGCCTCGGAGATCATCTACTTCCACAATCTAATCATACAGATGAGACAAGACGTCATCTGCAGGACACTTCCCAGGGAGTTTGCAGCGTCCAGTAGTGCCCTCCCGCTCCTCTAAGGATGGGGTCCTATGTACTGCCAGTGTGACCCCGCCGGTGTGACCCCGCCACTGTGACTCAGACCAGAACCTGGCACACAACAGTCCCTTGCACTGGATCCTTTCCAAGCACACGGGGAGAAGGTGCATGGGTGCGGACACGCGTGCACAGTTGCACCAGGACTCACCATGCTTCTCCTCTTCTAGGTCGACTGCTGCTACCTGAGCAGGAAAGGAAGGGGAAGAAGAAGATTTAGGCTTGCTGAATTCTAAAAATCATGCTGCTGTGGATCTCAAAAACGGAACAACAAAATTAACGAAAGTAGAAAACTAACTGAAAAACTACAGGAAATTTTTGTCTACATAAATCTAAAAGCTACAGTATTAATCTCGATGTAGGCAAAACATGATTATTAAAAACCACCACATTTTGGTTAACTAACCATTTCAATTTCTGACATTTCAGAGAGCTGAGGGGCAGCTTCCACCACAAACTGATCATCCTCTTCGTTGTCAGAGTTGTGTGACTCTGTAATCACATTTGAGACGGTTTTACCACTCCCTGACCTAAATAAAAAGAAATCAGATTAAATTAGAAATGCTTTATCAGTCACACATTTCATCAACCCCAGACATTTGAAACTGTCAGAGGTCAGCAGAGATGACGCTAGTCACCAACCCTCTGAAGAACAGCATCTCGAGCGACCTGCTGAAGCTCAGATGGACTATCTGCAAACAATGTCCTCTGTAAGCCCTCCAAGCCTGAGTCCCTGTGAGCCTCACCCTCCACCCCCACCCAGCTTCCCCATGTCCCTGTGCTGTCCTGTGTGTGTGTGCCTCCTGGTCCACACCTGGCCTCCCGCCCCCAAAGCCTCGTCTTGCCCTCTACTAGATGGAAGGCCCTCAGGGCCTCTACCTCTGCCCTGACCATGCTCAGTGACACCAGCCCTTCACCTGCTGCCTTCTACCTGGAGGCGCTTATTGCCCTGGGTCACAAACCTCAGGGTAGGGGCCACATTGGGGTCCCCACTGGCAGGGCTGCCCCCAGACCTCTCTTCACACAGCCAGCTGGAGGCCCCTCATTCAAATCCTAGTCACGGTGGCTGACCTGCGTCCTGTGTCCACATCACACTCCTCTCCACCCAGGTCCCACCTTCTGGGCAAGTCAGCATCCAACAGCCTGACCCTCCAGCCCCGGACCTTGTCCTCCCTTGTGGTGACAGCCTTCACCCAAGGGCTCTCTCATGCTCTCCAGGGCCACCGACTGGAACTGCCCCACCTGCAGCTGCTCCACTCCTCCTCACGCAGACCACTGTCAGCTCATTTTGACCAAATGTGAGCCCCAGACCCACTCACTCTACGGGCTTCCTGATGGCCCCCCCGCCTTTGTTCCTTCCCTGTGCACTCATGCTTGACCCAGTCCCCTAACTGCCCTGCCCGTTATCACACTGCTGCATGCATGCATACACATATGCGCATGCGCGCACACACACACACACACACACACACACACACACACAACCCCTTCCTTGCTTCAGTGCCATGCACAAGGTCCAGAGAGAATCTAGACACTTGGGAACAAGCTCTTAAAATAACACCGACTGCCGCAAACATCCTCAACTTCCTCAATGGGGTCCTTGAGACAAGAGGGCCTGTGACAAGAGGCTCGTGGGAGGAGCGGCCTGAGCTCCCGTCTCCTCATCTCTCACACTCCCTAGGTGAGGGCTGTGGGGAAGCCGTGTCCTGGAGAGCATGGTGGGACAGAGAGGGACTGCCAATCAGGGCAGGCACGAGGGTGCAGGTGTTTGGGGGGTGGGATGTGGGCCACAGTGGGGACCCCAGCATGGCCCCTGCCCTGAGGTTTGTGAACCAGGGCAATAAGCGCCACTGTGGTCCATTCAACAACCATCTGTGTGGCTCCTCCGGAACCAGCCTCACCTTGTACCTGCTGCTCTGTCAGCACCAAAGGATGCCCGAGCTCCCGTCTCCTCATCTCTCGCACTCAGCACCAAAGGAAGCCCGAGCTCCTGTCTCCTCATCTCTCACACTCAGCACCAAAGGAAGCCCGAGCTCCTGTCTCCTCATCTCTCGCACTCCTTGGGTGAAGGCAGCAGCGTGATAACGGGCAGGGCAGTTAGGGGACTGGGTCAAGCATGAGTGCATAGGGAGGAAACAAAGGCAGGAGGGGCCATCAGGAAGCCCGTAGAGTGGGTGGGTCTGGGGCTCACATTTGGTCAAAATGAGCTGACAGTGGTCTGTGTGAGGAGGAGTGGAGCAGCTGCAGGTGGGGCAGTTCTAGTGGGTGGCCCTGGAGAGCATGAGAGAGCCCTTGGGTGAAGGCTGTCACCACGAGGGAGGGCAAGGTCCAGGGCTGGAGGGTCAGGCTGTTGGACGCTGACTTGCCCAGAAGGTGGGAACTGGGTGGAGAGGAGTGTGGATGAGGCACTGGCCAGGACACAGAGCCCACATCCCACCCCTCCAACACCTGCACCTCCCGAGCCTGCCCTAATCGGCAGCTCTTCTCCATTCCAACTTGCTCCAGGACACGGCTTCCCCACAGCCCCTCAACTGCAGCTCCGCTCCTCCCGGGCCTTTTGTCACAGGCCCAGAGGCAAGGTCAGTAATTTCCTTATGCTTGCTGTGTCTTCCAGATCATTCTCACTAAAAACTGCCAACTTTAAATCTTGTCACTGTCGTCCCCATCATTGCTGCCATAAGCTGCCAACCCCTGTTCCCACCCGGTCCTCCCAGACCCCCCACTCTCGCCAGCACTGCTCCTGTCTTAACTTGTGATTTCAAGTATTGAGAAATGATCTTTCCCAAATCTGGCCTTGGGTCCCTGAACACTCCTAGAATGATCCCACCTCCCGCACTCGACACCTACTCCCAGGGTCACCCCTGTCACTACCACTAACAGAAAGCCCCAATCTCAAATCCAAGCAACCCACTCCTTTACCACCACCACGTATCTTTCCAGCTCACGGCCCCAGGACCCGACTCCAACAGTCCGGCACCCTCAGTCTCTCAATCCTCACCTCCTCCTGACCTTCACCCCAAGGGTCCTCCCGCACTCACTGGCATAAATCCCACATCAGTCACGACCGTGGCACTGCCACATACTCTGACACCTTCGCTCCTCTCTCACGGCAAAGCCGAGCACTGTGACAATGGGGCAGCCTCTTTAATCCAGCCTTTGCCCCCACGCCTGCACCGTGCAACTGACCACGGCTGCACAACAGGCCCCGCCACACCAACTCCTATCTCTTTACACCCAAGTGCACCAGATGCACCGAAGTCAGCTCTCAGTCACAGCCTCCACCCAGGCACCGTCCTGTGCATTGCAGGGGGTTCAGCAACAGCCCTGCCCTAACCCCCTGCCTCGTCAGAACACTAGAAAGTGTCTCCAGACCAAGGCCCAATGTCCTCGGAGGGGGCTCACCCTGGAGGAAAAGCTCTGCTCCAGTCTCCTCACTAGCCAAGTCTTGTGCCAGGGATTTCACCCAGCCCCTCTTCCCTCCGACACCCCTCTTCCCCCAGACTCTCTTACGGCTCATGAGAAAAATATGCAGCAGAGAGTCACCTTAAGAATCTGCTCTGGATTCAGATCCAAGGATGGCCGATCACTAACAGCTCGGGATTGTAGCTCCCAGTGAAAGCTCAGAGAATGAGACGATGCCAAACTTTTAGACGAATTTTCGTCACTTACGGATCAGCCGATTCCCAGTGGAGGAGCCCCACGGGTCGCCAGCACGACTCTCGTGGCTGCCGTGGCGGTTTTGCCCGTGCCTCGGCGCAGCAGCTCTTCATGCAGAGCCAACGGGACCACTTCCCCTACTGAACGGAGTTTGGAGCTCCGGGAAGTCAGAGCCACTTGTTGCGGACTCAAGAGGGAAGACAGACCAGAGATTCCCGGGCAGAAGAGCACCATCAGTCTTATCGCTGCTATTTAGGCCGCCACAGTGGGTTGCTCGGATCCCAGCACTGGGAATCAATAAGTCGGACGGCGACTCAGAAACCTAATTAGAAAGGCGGGTCATCTACAATGAAGGGAAAAAAACAGCCTAAGGCCGAGTATACTCAAAATCAGAACCCATCAGCAAGGGAACAAGCCCTGATGGAAAAGGACTCATCAGCAACCGAACAAGCCCTGATGGAAAAGGACTCATCAGTAACGGAACAAGCCCTGATGGAAAAGGACTGTGTTCCATTATCTGAAGTAGGCTTTAAAAGGTGGATGATAAGAAACTTCTGGGAGTTAAAGGAACTTGTTCTAACCCAATGTAAAGAAACTAAGAACTTTGAAAAAAGGTTAGATGAAATGTTGAAAAGAATAGACAATATAGAGAGGAATACAAATGAACTATGGAGTTGAAAAATACAACACAAGAACTTAGTGAAATATGTACAAGCTTAAACAGCCGAATGGATCAAGCAGAAGAAAGGATATCAGAGGTCGAAGACCAACTTAATGAAATAAAACGACAAGACAAGAATAGAGAAAAAAGGATAAAAAGGAATGAGCAAAGTCTCCAAGCAATATGGGACTATGTGAAAAGACCTAATATACGTTTGATTGGTGTACCTGAATGTGATGGAGAGAATGAAGTCAAGCTGGAAAATACTTTTCAGGACATTATCCAGGAAAATTTTCCCAACTTAGCAAAGCAGGACACTATTCAACCCCAGGCAATACAGAGAATACCACAAAGATATTCCTCAAGAAGACCAACCCCAAGGCACATAATCGTTAGATTCACCAGGATCAAAACAAAGGAGAAAATATTAAGGGCAGCCAGAGGGAAAGATCAGGTTACCCACAAAGGGAAGCCTATCAGGCTTACAGCAGATCTCTCAGCGGAAACCCTACAAGCTAGAAGAGAGTGGGGGCCAATATTCAATACACTTAAAGTCAGAACTTTCAGCCCAGAATTTCATATCCTGCCAATTTAAGCTTTACAATTGAAGGAAAAATAAAATCTTTTAGGAACAAGCAAGTACTTAGAGATTTTATTACCACCAGGCCTGCTTTACAAGAACTTCTAAAAGAAGCATTATATATAGAAAGGAACAACCAGTATGAGCCTTTCTAAAAATACACCAAAAAGTAAAGAGCATTAACATAAAGAAGAATTTACATCAACGAAAGGATAAAATAGCCAGTTAATATCAAATGGCAGTAACCCTAAATTTAAATCAACTAAATCCCCCATTCAAAAGATACAGACAAAATCTAAAGGTATATCTAAAGATATACGGGAGAACGATCCAAGATGGCCGATCGCTAACATCCCGGGATTGCAGCTCTCAGGGAAGGCGCGGAGAACTAGAGGACACCACACTTTCAGACAAAGTCTGGTCGCTCACGGAGCAGAAGATCCCCCAGTGGTGGAAACACACGAGTCGCCAGCGCGACTCTTGTGGTCAGCGCAGCGGTTCCGCCGGCACCTCCACGCGGCAGCGCTTGGCGCAGAGTAAACGGGACCGGTTCCCCTTCTGACCGAGGTTTGGAGCCCCGGGAAGGCAGAGTCGCCTACTAGGGACACAAGAAGGAAGCCCGACAGGAGAATCCTGGGCAGAAAAGCACCATCAGTTTTAACGCCGCTGCTCTGGCCCTGGGAACTAACAACCTGGACGCCCACTCAAGAGACCTAATCTGAAAGTTGGTAATTTCAAAGAGACAGGAGGATAAATTTACAATGACGGGAAGAAACCAGCGTAAAAAAGCTGAGAATACTCAAAGTCAGAACGCCTCTCCCTCTAAAGATGATCACAGTTCCACATCAACAATGGAACAAGGCTTGATGGAGAACGAGCGCCTCCTGATGACAGAATCACTCTTCAAGGAATGGATAATAACAAACTTCGGTGAGTTAAAAGACCATGTTGTAGCCCAACACAAAGAAACTAGAAACTTTGAAAAAAGGTTTGATGAAATCCTATTGAGAATAGACAACTTAGAGAGGAGTATGAGTGAATTAATGGAACTGAAGAATACAATCCAGGAACTCCGAGAAGTATGCACAGGTTTAAACACTCGAATTGTTCAAGCAGAAGAAGGGATATCAGAGGTCAAAGTCCAACTTAATGAAATAAAATGTGAAGAAAAGATTAGAGAAAAAAGGATAAAAAGGAATGAGCAAAGTCTCCAAGAAATGTGGGACTATGTGAAAAGACCAAATTTACGTTTGATAGGTGTACCTGAATGCCACGGAGAGAATGAATCCAAGCTGGAAAATACCCTTCAGGATATTATTCAGGAAAATTTTCCTAAACTAGCAAAGCAGGTCAACATTCAACCCCAGGTAATACAGAGAACACCACAAAGATATTCCTCAAGAAGAGCAACCCCAAGGCACATAATCGTTAGATTCACCAGGGTTGAAACGAAGGAGAGGATACTAAGGGCAGCCAGAGAGAAAGGTCAGGTTACCCACAAAGGCAAGCCTATCAGACTTACAGCAGATCTCTCAGCAGAAACTCTACAAGCCAGAAGAGAGTGGGGGCCAATATTCAACATCCTCAAAGAACAGAACCTTCAGCCCAGAATTTCATATCCAGCCAAACTAAGCTTCACAACTGAAGGAAAAATAAAATCTTTTATGAACAAGCAAGAACTCAGAGATTTTATTACCACCAGGCCTGCTTTACAAGAGCTTCTGAAAGAAGCATTACACACAGAAACAACCAGTATTAGCCTTTCTAAAAATACACCAAAAAGTAAAGAGCACCAACATAAAGAAGAATTTACACCAACAAATGGATAAAACAGCCAGTTAACATCAAATGGCAGTAACCCTAAATTTAAATTGACTAAATCCCCCAATCAAAAGACACAGCCAAAACCCAACGGCATGTTACATCCAGACCTGTTTCACATGCAAGGATACACAAAGACTCAAAACAAAGGGATGGAGAAAGATTTACCAACCAAATGGAGAGCAAAAATAAATAATAAATAAATAAAAAGCAGGAGTTGCAATTCTTGTATCGGATAAAATAGATTTTAAAGCAACAAAGATATAGTGGTAAAAGGATCAATGCAACAACAAGAGCTAACGATCCTAACACCCAGATAGGAGACATAGATTCAATGAAACAGAAAATTAATAAGGATATCAAGGACTCGAACTCAGATCCAGAACAAGTAAACGTAATAAATATTTATAGAGCTCTCCACTTCAAATACACAAAATACACATTCTTGTCAATACCACATCACACCTACCCATTAGTTTAAATGAAACATTGATTGGCCATTATTAATACCCAATTTTTTTCAAAATAAAGCAATATTTCCATTTACTCTCCCTCTTTCTCTTCCTCTTTCTTCCTCTCCTTTACTTATTTTTTTTTCTTTCCTTCTCTCAAAAAAAAAGAAATCAACTTGTAAACCTCTAGATCCAGGTCGGCAATGTCTCTTTCATTGCTTGATTTCCTTTCTTCCCTTCCCTCCCTCCCTCCCCGCTTCCTCCCTTCCTTCTTTCCTTCATCCCTTCCTTCCTCCCTACCGTCCTTATTCCCTTCCTTTCTGCCTTCCTCCCCCTCCAAAAAAAAATAAATAAATTTAAAAAATAAAGATATACAAAGACTCAAAATCTAACAGTATACCTAAAGATATACAAAGACTCAAAATAAAAAAACTTACCAACCAAATGGAGAGCAAAAATAAATCAATAAAAAGCAGGAGTTGCAATTCTCATAATTAATAAAATAGATTTTAAAGCTTAAGGATGAAAAAGCAAACAAAACACACTGCCATGTGTGTACCTATGCAACTGTATTGCATGCTCTGCACATGTACCCCAAAACCTAAAATGCAATAAAAAATAAAAATAAAAAAAAAAGCTAAAGGATACAAGGGTAAAAGGATTAATGTAATAATAAGAGATCTTAACACCCAGATACATAAGACCCATAATGAGATTTAGATTCAACAAGACAGAAAATTGATAACGATATCCAGGACTTGAACTCAGATCCAGAACAATAAACTCAATAGAGCTCTCCATTTTAAACACACAAAATATACATTATCCACTTTAAACACACAAAATATTGATCGGCCATTATTGATACCTATTTTAGGAATGAAGTAATATTTCTTTTTCCCTCTTTTTTCCCTCTTTTTCCCTGTTTTTCTTCCCCTAAAAAAAAATAAAAAGAATCTGCTCCACACCATGTGCCAACTCCACCTCTGTGCCCGTTCCCACACCCATGCAGGGATCTGCTCCACCAAACCCCTGCCCCACGTCACCTACGTCATCAATTTCCCCTCTTCACTGATCATTCCCATCATCAGAAAAATAGTAACTCCCCTTGACACTGCCTTTCTCTCTTTCTAGCCTTATTCCTTCACTTCTGTTTGTAACAGAAAACTGCATCTACTCCTGCTTCCTCCAATTCCTGCCTCTTATTTTATCTGAAACCCACTCTGATCCATCCTGTCTTGTTTGTGTTTATATTGCTTATGACATTTTTTTTTTAAGACGGTCTCACTCTGTCACCCAGGCTGGAGTACACGCGATCTCAGCTCATTACAACCTCCACCTCCTGGGTTCAAGTGATTATCATGTCTCAGCCTCTTGAGCAGTTGCACCTACAAGCACACACCAGCAGGCCCAGCTAATTTTTGTATTGTCAGTAGAGATGGGAGTTTCACCATGTTGGCCAGGCTGGTCTCAAACTCCTGACGTCAAGCGATCTGCCTGCCTCGGCCTCCCAAAATGCTGAAATTGCAGGTGTGAGCCACCACACCCAGTCTGCTTATAACATTTTGACCATCTTCTATTTTTTATTTTTGTGCAATTAAGCCCCTAAATTTCCCCTACTTTTTCCTCAGCATTGTTTTCATGCTTAGAAAGTCTTGAATCTAGAGGCCAGGCACGGTGGCTCACGCCTGTAATCCCAGCACTTCGGGAAGCCAAAGCAGGCGGATCACGAGGTTAAGAAATTGAGACCATCCTGGCCAGCATCATGAAACCTCGTCTCTACTAAAAGTACAGAAATTAGCTGGGCATGGTGGGGCATGCCTGTAGTCCCAGCTACTCAGGAGACTGAGACAGGAGAATTGTTTGAACCCAGGAGGCAGAGGCTGCAGTGATCTAAAATCGCACCACTGCACTTCAGCCTGGCAACAGAGCAAAACTCTCTCAGAAAAAAAAAAAAAAAAAAAGAAGCAAGTCTTCAACCTAGAGATCAGAGAAATGCAGTCCAACACTTTCCCATGGATGTTAAGATTTAATTTTACACGGATGCATGGCTTTCCTCTTTCATCCATCTGCTAGGTCTGTCAGCCTATGGTGTGAGGCAAGGACCTACGTCATTTTTCATTCCTCGACACCAAGCTTCCAGCACCATCTGTGGCCTCCCTCCCCCATCCCTCAGTGGAGGCACTGTGCCCACGGGAGAACACACTGTGTGACCGGAACTGCCCTGCTGAGCCAGTCTTACCTCTCCAGCGGTAACGCTTCCGCACTGTCTTGCCGTTTGACCCGGGGAGGTGCTGGTCTTGCACTCCCAGGCCGAGGAATTCTTCTAAACCCAAATATCAGAAAACCAAAAAAGGAGTATGAAAAGCTTATATATTTCAAAGTGGAAAATCATCTCCAGTCCATAATCAAGTGCTAGTTAGGACACGCTACTCTGCAGAAGAGGAAGAATGTCCCATTAATCCAACCAACCAGAAAGTGTCCATCTTTTAAACTATATTTTCAGTCATTTCAAAATACCAAGAAAATAGCACAACTATTAATCAAAACATGACATAATTCAGACGTAATTTTGAATTCCCCTAAATTGCCAAAATATTCTGCATATGGTATATAACTGAGGTACAGAAAAATGATCTACTTTTTCTATCCTGTACAAATAATTCCTCGTAAGTTAGCTCAAGTGCTAAATAAACAGCAACAAGTAGAAAGAAAAGCATAGCAGCGTCCTAGGTGTGGTCACTGCTGAGGGAAAGGGATTAAAAGCACACAGACCTGATGCTGGATGAAAGCTCATTAGAAATTTCTGGAATCTCTGACACCTCAGTCTGATCTTGGCCAGCAGGTCCAGCATCTCCTTCTAAACAAATGACAATCAATTAGCAATTCACAAAGGAAAAACACACTGACGACTATTTGAAAATTCCATTTGCATTTGTTTTTGCAGTTATTTGGAATCAAATACATTTGTAATTGCAAATACAGATGAGCAATTTTTCCATTAATCATGTTGTTGAAGATAAGACCGACGTCTGATATCTAAGCTTGGTGAAGATTTGGGAAAATGGGCACACTCACACCCAGGAAATACAAACTGGTTCAACTACTTCAGAAATGGAATTCGAAAGGCAGGCTGATCAACTCCGCACTTAACAGAGGAGAAATGGACACGTGTCAAGATATCGTCGGCAGTACTGACAATTAACCGGTAAGTAAGTGACTTACGGTACACGCACATGCTAGTCCCGTTTGTGTGACACAATCCAGTACAGTAATGTATCTAACAATTACGTATGTATGCGCACATATGCAGAGAGAGCGGTTCTAAAAGAACACTCATTTACGTTATAAGCAGTGGAACTACCAGTGCTTTTAAGTTTTGTTCTTTACGTTCTTCTGCATTTTTTAATTTTTCTACATTGGTATGTACCATATTATGTTTATAATCTGAACAAAGTTTTCTTCGTTTTGATAAAAAGAATTAAGCAGTAAATAATAAGGCCCAAACTATTAAAACAATTAAGTTTACTCCACTACTTAAAGTAAAAGAAATTAATAATTGCTGGGCACGGTGGCTCAAGCCTATAATCCCAGCCCTTTGGAGGCCGAGGCGGGTGGATCACGAGGTCAAGAGATCGAGACCATCCTGGTCAACATGGTGAAACCCCGTCTCTACTAAAAATACAAAAATTAGCTGGGCATGGTGGCACACGCCGGTAATCCCAGCTACTCAGAAGGCTGAGGCAGGAGGATTGCCTGAACCCAGGAGGCAGAGGTTGCGGTGAGCCGAGACTGGGCCATTGCACTCCAGCCTGGGTAACAAGAGCGAAACTCCGTCTAAAAAAAAAAAAAGAAATTAATAATTCAGAAAATAGTCAGAATTTGAATATTAGAACTATACTTTATATTCTGGAAAAAATCCTAAAATATATGCTTTGCAAACTTAAAACATATAAATTAAATCTCAAATTAAATTAGGGCAGTTAACATCTGTTTCCACAAACTAAGTTACTTTCACTAATGTACTTTATGAAACATAAATCTTCGAGCCCTGTTTACATTCACAACAGGCATCCTGATGTGACACACAGGTGTCTAAGGCCATTCCTCACCTGCATCACTGGTGGAGTCACCTGAAAAAGAAAGCACAGCAGAAAATTAACTTTTGTGTAAGTAAATGTCAATATAGTAAACGATGAGAACAGAATTAGAGAAAAAGCACATTGTACATAATTGTGGATGTCTGTTAGAAAAAAAGATCATTTCCTTATAGCCGCTTTTCTGATGTCCCTATTGCCATTTTGTTTATTTTCAAAGACAGAAAAACAAAGCGCAAACACACTGTGCATCATAAAATGGTATTACATAAAATCAGGACACGGGTGTGGAGAGAGCACATCGGAGAGAGGAGGTGAATGAGTTCACGAGACAAGAATTGACAAAGCCAGAGCCACAGAAAAGCATCTAAATTCAAGGGAATGACGCGACAGTCTGAACCTGGCCAGCTAAATCCCAGCTGTTCCTAAGACTGGGAGATAGCCAGCAACAGCCCATCTCATAGACATAATGGGTATTTTTCCGTCGGCTTCTGAAGCAGAAGAAAATCTCCCAGCCCAGAACACTACGCAGGGAGACACAAGCCCTTGTTTAACACGGCTCCACCCCAGACAGGGATAGTTCACGCAGCCTCGAGAAAGCAGCCTGGGTTATTCTGAGGATCCATACCCAACAGAGTGAGGAGTACTCCACAGACACCTCTAGCTTATTTATTCACAGGAGGACTTTCCATGAGTGTAACATAACAGTCACGAGTTCATCAACGGTGCCCTAAAGAGGGTGGCTCTGGCAGGGAGAGAGCGGCCAAGCTTGTGGATCAAGGGGAACTGGGAGCCTCTAGAGGACCCTATAAGTGTGGGCCTGGGAGCCTCCAGAGGTCACACCCCACAAAGTGCCATAGCACAGCAGGCAGCCCGGCACCCGCCAGGGCCCAGGGGAGTGGAGGACACAGTGGTTAGGAGGGGCCTAGAGAATGTGGTCCCAGATAGTGCCAATAGAAGGGCAGTTTCAGAGACGCCAGCACTCTGGGGCAACAGGGTTGGAGGACTTAGCTCAACCCTGGGACAGGACTGCTCAGGACCAAGAGCAAATCTTCTCTTCGTGGCTGTGTAGCCTGGAGCATATGCTTAGCAGAGACCAGTGACCTGGGGGTGGGCAGCAGACCCAGTTGCAAACCCCCAGCTCTTTCTTTAAAACACTCTGGGTCACAGAGCTCATAGAAAGGTTCCTGAGTGGCGCAGTTATTCAACCACAAGGCCAACACCCAGAAGGAAAGCAAGCACAGTAAACTCCACCTTTCCATGGAGACTTCCAGTCCCCGTCACCCAGAACCCAAGGCACCTGCCACATGGCACACACTTTCCTCCCTGAAGCCTGTGCTTCCACGGCACCAGTGCTCTGCCAGCTCCTGTGCTCATGGTCTTGTCCCAGGTGACCTCATTCCTCACCCAGGCTCCCACCATCACCCGGCGCCAGCAACTCTCACAGCTCCTCTCTAGCCTGTGCTGTCCCTCCACACTCCAGGCCAGCTCCTCCAACACGTGAAACTTCAGGGATCATTCAGGACACCTCCCAAGTGATGAACCATGCCACCTCCTCTCACTCACAAAGCATGGGGGAGCACATGAGTGGGTCTCCCGTTATCAAGAAACCACTGTGTTAGATTCTGGTTTATGCAAAAAGCCAGAAGTGAATCACTCGCCACGTTCAGACCCAAGGGAGAGCCTTGAGCTCTGGGCTGTGGCCCTTTGGGAAGGCTCTGGAGGGCTGACTCTGCTCTCGCCAGAAAAGGGTAAAACGGGACCATTCTTACCTTTCTGCTTCACTGCAGAATCGGGCTCAATATTTTCACACCGCAGACTAGCTGAGTTATCATCTGAAATACTAGTTGAGTTAATATTAGCTTCTTTTGTTCCTGACATAAAACAGTTTGAAATTAGTCATTAAGACTACACCAAAGGGCCGGTGATCAGCAGTTTTGTTAACACAGAGCATGCTCACTTATCTACATCTTCCCACACTGCAAGTTGACAAAGGATTGACCAAAGGCAGTTTTTAGAAAACATGCACCTAGAATGTTCCTTCCCCATGGGTGGCTCCACAATTAGGTGGAGGAGAAAGAAAATCCCAGACTGTGAGTGTGTCCTGGGTCTACTTGGGCCATGAGGAGCAGGCTGTCCCCGCCCCCATTTCTGGAGCTACCTGACACTGCCAGTCTCCACTTGCCTCCCCACTAGAACCAGACCCAGCAGCTGAGAGGCTGCAAGTAGGTTACCAGGTAGTTCCAGACAACAGATTGTGCTTAGTCTGTGATTCTTTGTTTTTTTTTTTTTTTTCAATTTATAGCCATTTTTATTTTATTTTATTTTTGAGATGGAGTCTCGCTCTGTCGCCCAGGCTGGAGTGCAGTGGCACGATCTCGGCTCACTACAACCTCCTCCCAGGTTCAAGTAATTCTCTGCCTCAGCCTCCCGAATAGCTGGGACCACAGGCGCCTGCCACTATGCCTAGCTAATTTTTTTATATTTTTAGTAGAGACGGTTTCACCATGTTGGCCAGGCTGGTCTTGAACTCCTGACCTTGTGATCCACTTGCCTTTGCCTCCCAAAGTGTTGGCATTACAGGCATGAGCCACCGGCGCCCAGCCAAACTCTTCAATCCACCCAAAAAATCAAAATGATAACATAAACCCCAGGAATTCTCTGATGATGACGCAGACTATGGGCACAGGGCTCGCTAGGGCTGGCTCGGTCACTGCAACACAGGCCAGCTTTCTTTGGCAACGTGGACTTTTCTTTGAAGCACGAAGAAGGAAAGGCACTGTGAGGACCAGCTCGCTAACCAGACCCAATGGCAGTGCACCTGGAGTTCACCCTCAATGAAGAAATCAAGGAACAGTAACAACTGCCAGCAAACTCTCAATTCCAAATGTTAGCCATGGCCAGTGCAAGGTAACACCTGCAACTTTGAGGACAGAGAGCCCAGGCCCGTGCCGTGGCAGGACCCCAGGGGAGCAGGGCCAGGGCTGGGGGAGGAGAGAGAGGAGGGACCAGGAGTCTCTCCAGAGCGCAGGCTCTGCTCCTGGCCACTGTTCCCAACCCCCTGCACGGCCACCGCCACAGAGAGACTGTTCCCCAGCAGGTGGCATCAGGCTCCATCCCTATCTCTGCAAAAAGCTGAACGCAGAAACCAAGGTCAGAGTCTGTGCTTCTCACTGCCTGGCTTGTGCTATCTCCACACTTGTGGCTATTACCTACGTAGTGCTCACTACCTGTCTGGAGAATGCTTTCAATTTGTTCTAAATCCACTGCCCATCTCAGGATGAGCGCTGTCTCGCCCTGATCCGGGGTGAGTGGCTGCCTTATGGACATCACCTCCTTCACCCTCAGGCAGGTCTCTTTATGCCCATTTATGATGAGGAAACTGTGGCTCAGAGAACCCACTCACATGGCTGGCTAAGGTCATGAGACAGGTAAAGCAGATGGTGGGGAGTTGCCCCAGCGGTCTTAGAGATGGGGTCCCAGCTACCCAGATGGGGGCTACCAGGAGTCTACCCCTCAGGCTTTTGCCGCTGCCTGCTGCCCTGTCCTGTGTACAGAACTGCAGAGCGGCTGGGCGTTTCCCCACAGGTGCCTGGGGATGAGGAAAGCTACCAGAAAAAGAAAACATACATCACAAGATGCTGCTGAGCTGTAACATGCATTCCCACGTGGCAAGGGCTCTCTCCAGTGAAAACCCCTGCTCCAACTCAGTCACCTCTTATTGCGCCATCCCATGCTACCGAAGACCCAGGTAACTCCCATACAGTGGCCCTACTTGGAATAAAATAACCACAGATCACCTTTCACACTGCAGCTGCTGTACCAATCATGCCCAATCCTGGAAGTGCCAGCTCTGAGGGGGAACACATGCAGAGAAAGAAAGGTGCACCCACCGGCATTCCAGCTACACTTCAGAATTCATCAAAGTCAGACAGATACAAGGCAAGTTGGGCCCAGCAAAAATCTTATCTTCCCCTAAAGTCTAATTTTACACTATTTTTTCCTTAAATGCAGCTGAAGAATTTGAATATTTCTGAAGAATTCCCTCTGTAGTCACAGATGACCGCAGTTACTGATACTGAACCAAGGCCCATCCCCTCTGAGCCAGCAGGACGAGGATTGAAATGTGACTGGCTGTGACAGGCTGGCTTTCCTGGTGCCTGAGAAGCACTTTAAACATCTCTACTGCGAGCATGTTCTGAGTAGAATACAGCAGGGCAAGATGAAGACAGAAAACCCGTTTGTCTATGCCGTCACCCGCACCACTGTGAAATCCCAACAGCAAAATTAAGAAAGCATTCTGACTGAAATGTAAACATAAGCTATGTACAAAAAGCTTATCATTAACTTAAAGCGGAGTTAATAGAGTTACGTAACTTATCATATTTAAGCAAGTAAAACCCCAAGGCATTTCCAACCTTCAGTACATCATGAAAAAGTCTGATGAACATACAAGTGTTTAGAATCATCTTTTTAAATGCGTAACTACACTGAGATACAGCCATTCGCATTAGAGGGGTAAGGAATGAAACTAAAGCATCTGCTTTTCTTACCGATTTCGGAAGTTGTTGTTTCCCGATTTGGCTCATTTATTCCAGACCCTACGGAGTCTAAAATTTTAGCTGAAATATTATCCTGCTTTCTTCCTGACATAAAATAGTTAACAACAGATTAAAATATTGTAAAAGATTTTGTGTTTGGTTTAGTTGGGATTTATAGGGGATATACGAAGGTCACCAGCAAACTGTCTTGTCAACTAAATGGTCAATTCTCAGCCTCCACACGACTCCCTCACATTAGAGCTTGACAAGAAGCCCCTCTCTCCTTCCCTAACACTTTCTTCCTCTCCAAGTTTTCCTCCAACTTGTTGGCCTTCTGTATCCTTTGTGAGGATGATCCTCCATCTTTCCTCCTCCTCCTCCATCTTTTTTCCTCTTCGTCCTTTCCCTCCTCCCTCCTCCCCTCCCCCTCCCCCTCACCCCGCTCCCCTTCCTTCCTCCCTCCTCCACCCTCCTCCTCCCTCCCCCTCCCTCTCCTCTTCCTCTCTCCCCCGCTTCCTCCTCCTCTCCCCCCCTCGCTCCCCCTCCTCCCTCCTCCTCCTCCTCCCCCTCCTCCTCTTTTCCCCTCCCCCTCCTCCTCTTTCCCCCTCCCCCCTCCTCCTCCTCTCTCCCCCTCCCCCCTCCTCCTCTCTCCCCCTCCCCCTCCTCTTCCAACCTGGGAGCCCACAGCAGGCCCCAAAACTCACCACACCTACCTACACAGGCACCTGGACTACTTACCGCACAAAGGCCCACGGCTGTAAACACCACTCGTATGCTAGAACTCTCCATTTTTGGTTTTTACTTCAGTTTCTCCAGCTCTCTCCTATCTCCAAGTCTATACACCCAGCTGTCTACTAGATGTTTCTACTTGGTTGGTCCACAGCCATCTCAAATTTGTTGTTAACACAGAATTCCTAACAGTGTCACCCATTCCATCAACCAGCATCTCCTAGAACCTTCCACGTCAATAAAGGCCACCCCCAGGAATCTAGACCCCTCCCAAAATGAATCGCATCTTTGATTTCCTTCCATCGGAACAAGCAGCATCCAACCCATCAGCACAGTAAACCCAAGCTGCTCTCACCACTGGTCTGAACCATCACCTCCTCTCACCTGGATGCCACAGCCCCCTCCTTACTGCTCTGTGGCCTTTATTCCTGCCACTCCACAGTTTTTAAAAGGAGGCCTTCTAAAACCTAAGTCAAATCTTGCCTCTGTCCTGCTTAAAACCCTCCAAGCACTTCTCTATGCACTCGCTGTAAACCACAAAGCTGCTGTGGACCAGGACCAGCAGCTCTGGGCCCTGCTTACTAGCCCAGCCCCTCCCCTCCCCTGTTGCTGTTCCTCTCTCCACCCGGCCTCACCACTCACACAGGAAAGCCTGCCCCAGCTCAGAGGCTCTGCTCAGAGGCTATGCACACCTCTGTGTCCTCCTCCTTTGCCCAAGTCAGCTCTCTGTCCAGATGTCCTCCCTCAGAGACATCCTCCCTGCTCAGCCCCTCATCCCTGCTCCTCTTGGCTTCATTTTCCTTGAAGATTCATCACAAACTAACATGCAACTATGCATCCCTGAGTCATAAATGTCTGCAATATCAACGAAGGAAGGCTCAAATGGACAATTTCAGCCTGTGATTGACGCAGAATAAGAAATTCCCACCTGGTCAGGGGCAGTCCTGCAGGGGGCCAACAGGTCCCTCTGCCCCTCTCCATTCTGGCCCAAAGGCAGTGTTCTAGAGCTCAGGCCCCAGGGCAAGCAGGGCCACACCCATCCAACCACCCCGCCAAGACTTCCACATGTTCAACGACCAAGCAGAAGCAAAGGACCAGGCGGCAAAGGTTTCAACTCTCAACACTCACTCACAGCCTCCACTATGGCTCACTCAGCTTACCGAGCTGTTTCAGGGTATGCTCCTTCTTAGCTTTATAGTGGGAAGAGTTATGTTCTTTCTCAGGGGAAAGACTATTTCCATTGGCTTTAGGGTCCCTTCTTCCTGACATAAAATTGCACAATGAAAATATATATTAAACTTAATTTGTAATGTAAAGCAGTTCACAAACAAATGAAATTAAAATATACTCATTAAGTCAAAGTGATCAGCTCTACAAGTACTACTTAGGAATAAGCAAAAATTGTCATAATCTTATGCAGAAAGCCTTCCGGATTCTGCGGGATTCAAGAATGACTTTAAGAGTCTAAGTGTGTTTAACAAATGTGCTCCCCTCACGCCCTATAGTAAAGGCTCATTCATCCCGTAGAGCAGAACACAGAGGTCCAGTGTCTCACACACCCCTAGAAACTGGGCATTTACCCAAATGCAAACCTACGTAAGCGAGGCAGAATGTTCGGGCAGAGTGCCAGCTGTGCTGGGAGACCTACTGTGAGGTCAGTGCCCGGCTAGCAGGAGGGGCAGACAGGAGTTCATGGGGCTGTTGGTAACTCAGGAAAGCTCAGTGTCAAAAAACCCAAAAAATGTCTGGTAATAAAAATCTCTTAAGATCAGACAAAAGAACCCTAGAGTACAAGCTCACCAGTAAACACAGACGAGAAAAGAGCAGAAGACACAACTGTCTGCTTAGGAGACCCAAAGGAAGCAACAGAAGAACTACTGGATTAAGATGCAACAACAGGCTGGGCGCAGTGGCTCACGTCTGTAATCCCAGCACTTTGGGAGACTGAGGCGGATGGGTCACTTGAGGCAAGGAGCGCGAAACCAGCCTGGCCAACATGGTGAAACCTCGTCTCTACTAGAAATACAAAAAACTTGGTGGGGCATGGTGGCATGCACCTGTAATCCCAGCTACCTGGGAGGCTGAGGCAGGAGAATTGCTTGAACCTGGGAGGCAGAGGTTGCAGTGAGCTGAGATCATGCCATTGCACCCCAGCCTGGGCAACACAGCAAAACTCCATGTCAAAAAAAAAAAAAAATGAAGCCACTGCATACCAATAATAATCATTTTTAAAATGAGAGAAAATACCATTTCCAAGAAAAAATTAAAAATAAAACAAACCAGCGAGCAACCACTGTGACTAACGGACACAGCCAGCCACATACACAACACGTGTTCTCAAAAGAGGGGAACGCCTTCCCTAAACTAAAGTTAGAGGTGTCTAATCTTCCTACCCTAATGAGAGCATATCTTTGACACAAGTCCAGTTACATTCTGAGACATTAGTTTGTTTGTTTTGCAGGAGTGGAATTCTTTGAGTTGTGAGGTGCTTTTAAAATTCATCTGGAAGAATAAGCAAATAAGATGGCCTAAAACTTTCCTGAAAAGAACAATGATAGGAAATGATAGTAAAAATAAAACAGTGGAAGTAAAAGCCACCACACACAAAAAGGCCTATAACGCAGACTCCAAAAGGCATCACAGAGCAGGAGAGAAGCGTTCAATGAATTAGTAACTGACCCTGGAGCCCCTGATGAATTATTCTGAAAAAAACAGATTCAGAGCCTCACCTTACACCACAAAATAAAGTGGGAGATAAAATATTAAATGATAAAACACAAATCTTCACCTCTCAAATCTCTGGACAGATTACCAAAAGAAAGAGTAGAGGCCTCAAGTACCTAACGATTTAACACTCAGGCAAGTCAGAAACCAAACCAAATATAATTAGCAGAAACAAACTGGAAAAAAAAATACGAAACACTTAGGCAAAAATCGGCAAATTGGCAGATGGCCTCAACATGCAGTGCACGTGTGCAAATCAGTAAGAACACAGGCTCCAGCAGCAAGAAGAACTCAGGCAGACGAAAGGAGGGGCGGATCAGACAGGCCCAAAACACTCACGTTCAGCAAAAAGTACCATTTCACCAGCAATTAACTTTTTGTTTCTCATCCACCAAAATCAGCATGCCTTAAACACTGGAGAAGGGGTGAGGTGAAGGGCCGTTAAGGACACGCAGAAGCCACAATGCCACGTCCTTTGTGCCAGCCACTGCACTTCTGGAAACCTACCCTAGAGCGGTCAACCAAAAGATAGCAAAGGCTTCTGGCACAAAGCTGGTCATGAGCACACTACTGATTCTTGTGCAAGGGTGGAACCCATCATGTAAGCTGCCCCACAGAGGTAGGCTGAGAAAGCCTCCTTCCATACGAGAAATTCCCACTGCTACGTCTTGCCACCCTTCTTGAATCAGCACAACTTAGGAAAAGGATGGCTTTCCGGAAACTAGTACTGCTCATTCAAAATAACGTCATGCTTCAATGGAAAATAAGCCTCCCACACCGTGGCCTCCAACAGGGCTTCCCGGCACGCGCCTGGCACTCTTGTGTTAGGCAAGATGATGAGATACTACCCTTGAGCGAACCACAGGCCGGGCCTGTGTGCCCAGCTGTTGGCATGACTTCAGTCATCATTTCTGCAGTTTTTGAACACATAAACATTATCCACCTATGTGCTCTATGTCCAGCCTGCGTAAGAATGAAATGTAGCCCGCCAATGCAAAGGACAGAACCACTGAAATGAAGATGGCTGATAAGTATTTCCGGAAAATGAAAATTTGATCACAACTTTTAGATTTCAACACAGATCTCCAGCAAAGAGGGCTACTCTGCCCTGATGCCATCAGCTCACACACTTGAGCACACATGCAGGCGTGTGCAACAGCCACGGATCTGCATTATTTCCACACGCCGTTCATGCCCAGACACAGCAAGTCTGTTTTCCAGCCACAGGAGTTCTTTCCCTCTAGATGTTGAGATTAAGGCAAAGGAAAACTAGCACCCGTATTTCAGCCACATACGTGAGTTTTGCAGTACCTTCCACTGAGCTTTTGGACCGCCGCCTGGAGGTTTTTGTTGTCAATGACTTGGATGGTCTAGTGGAAATCTGAGTCTTAAAGAAAAAAGAATGAAAAGAAATTAATTGACGTACTACATAGCGATATCACAAGCAGATTTACTTTTCCAGCTCTGCTTGAGGAAGAACAAGTAGGAAATCCAGCAATAGTGCCCATATGCTTTAAAAACTCAATACAATTAAGAACTCAAGACCTGACAGTATCAATTACAAGGAAGCCAAAACCTTTTTTGCACTATATTTAAAGAATTCCATCTTTTTGTACAGCCCTAGAAAGGTCAGCAACCTACTCACCGGACTTTGAGAAACACTAATGTCTTATCAGATGTGCTTACAAGGACTCCGCTTCTGTTGCTATATACTTAATTACTTAAATGCACTTGTAAGCAACTCTGAATGTAAAAATTTACATGTATTTTAAGCAGAACCCAAATCAGAGAAAACAGCATATCCTAATCCTCCCTCCACTGACACAGTTCCAGTCTGACCACCTCTCTCTCCTAACTGGCCTCCCAGCCTCTGCTCTATGCCTAACCCAGCTCCCTTGCAGCCTACTGAATACTTCCTGAAATGCAAAACTGGATTATGAAAGTTGGCTTGAATCTCTCAGTGGCCTCTACTGCTGGGGATGAGTCTAACCTCCACAAGATGGCCCACGTGGAGATGATGGGCTTCTACCGTACCCAGCCCAGCCCCAGGAAATGTATGGTGGAATCCTGAACAGGCCAAGCAGAGGTTGGAGGGGTCCCTCCCACTGGACCCATCTGCCTGGTGACTTACGTCTCTTTCAGATTCATCCTGAGTGTCATCTCCCACTTCTCCCCAAAATGACAACCTTATCATACCACACATCACACTTGTCATATAAAAGCATAAGTAAACCCAGGAGTGCCCCACAGAAAATCAGAGAATACACACACCCATCTATTTTACCAGGAGGTAAAGCATGTAACACATTACTTTTACAACAAAATAAAATGGACCTATTACAGGTAGGCCCAGACCATGCACTCCTTCCATGCCTCAGTGGACCAGGGGAGGACACAGCATTCACCATATCCACACAACTACAAGTTGACATCTCTTAAGGTTATTTTTAAAGTTTACCTCTGTTTCAGCCTTGGAGTCTTTAAAAGTTCCATCTGACAACTTTTTAGACATCTCCCCTGAGCTTGCTGACTATTAAAAAAAAAAAAATCAAACTTTAGAATTATTCAACTCCATAATATCTAAAAATACATCAAGATATTTTCTATAACACTGACCAACAGTGAAATCATTCTTCCCGTGAGAACATCTCCTCACCGCTCTGATTAGCCACCACTGTTATTGCTGCCTGGATTCCCCAAGAGTCTTCCAAGCCAATGGCAGGGATCACTTCCAGTAAGGGCAGAGTAGGTGGGCAAGGACTTCAAACACTCCTGCCTCTCAGGAAGCTACACGGAACACAAACCCCTATGCCATGCCAAACCTCCTGGAAACATCCCAGTGAAACCCAGAAGAGAGGGAAGGAACAAACACCCATGGAGAAACTGCTCCTAGTCTCCTAGAAACTACATAAAAACCGTAAGCACCATCTCATCTCATGCCTTAAATTAATTCTCTGGAAGACACATTTCAGAGAAGGAGAACAGATTATCTTCACTGAGATTTTCCTCCAGGAAGACTGAAAAGCGAAGAATGCCTGTTCAATATTTTAACAATTCAATGTCCTCATATGTCAATTATAAAGGTGTCAGATTGTATCAGCAGTAATTACCCATGACTGCAGGCTGGGTACTGTGCATGTGCTATCCATAAAAGAGGCAGTTAAGAGAGGGGCCCAGGACCCCCACAGGGCCAGTCTAACCCAGCACCTGGCCTCTCAACGGCACCCTTAATTTTCCGAGTGTTTTCATATCTACTATTTCACCTCTTCTTCGCAAAAGCCCATGGGGTAGACTACAGTCTCACCACCCTCTCTGCTAGACAGAAATAAAACGGGGAAGAGAATAAAGAATGACTGAGTTCTAACTAGGGTCAGAAGCTGAGTCTCCTGACTCCCCCGATCAGACGTGACTGAAGTCCCCGGGGAAGTGGATTCCTTGGGAGGATCTCACAGCAGCTCACACCTGCCTGGCACTTTTTATCACAAGAAAGGATGCAGCTGCCTCCCAGATCCATGTGGCTCCATGAAGAAGCCCCCAGAATATCCACAGAAGAGCCTGGCAGGCAAAACCTCCAAGCGAGATCCTCGCAAATCTCATGGCAGCCAAGAAAGCACCAGCTTCAAGTAGGAAACTTTCACTTCGCCACGGTCTCAGATGCTTTTAAACAAAATCATCATTATACTTGGCTCTGATATGTTCCCAATTATCAGCATCTAAGATTTTCTTTGGAACTATTTCTCTCAACTTAAAAAGCCAGTTGCCTCATTAGCAGTTTTAGGGAACATAACGTGGGGACCCTCAAGCCAGAGGCCTTGAGAGCTGAGGAAAGGCTGCCTCATGACAGCAAAATACACCAGAATGTGCTGGTGCCCCAGAAACATCAGATCCATGAAAAATACTTTTTCTTACACCTTTAAAAAGGAGCAAAAGATGGGGAATGTCTTTGTAATTTCTAAGACTCATAAGGAAAAGCAGGTTATGAGACATAGCATAGGGTACATTACTACAGGATGTGCAGAGGAGGGGAAAAGAGTGACGTTTTAAATAGTAAAACTCCAAAGTGCCCTGTAAAACACCACGCTCAATTACAAACAAACCACAATCTTTCCTGATAGGCACCCCCTTTCCCACTGTGACCCACAGATCTCAACATGGGCTTGTACTGACCCCAAAAGAAAGCCTAGTTTACAGGATTTCCTCAGGATCACTCCTGTGGTACCCACCCCCTCCCCGGGCAGGCACACCCTGAAACGCAGTGCCACAAGACTAGATGGCTGTCCTGGGAGGAAGGGGTCACAGCATCAGCCGCCTGCCCCTCAGTGCCAGATCAATGGGGCAGATCTAGACCCTTTCCAACCTCATTGTCCTCCTCTCTAGCAGCTGGAGACAATGATTTCCACCATCTTCACAGGAGGCTTTACAATTTGACATCCTCCAAAGAACGAGTAGGGGACCCACATAGTGGGTCCAGAAGGAATCCACACATTTAGAAAACACTTTGAAACCAATAGGATTTTCTGGCCAACCCTAAATTTACCTGAAAATTTAATTAAACAAGAATTGTAGTAAACTGAGGTCTTACTGTACTTATCTGCTCATGCCTAAAAGCCCTTGAAAGCAGCCCTAATCTTCAATAACTGAGCAACGTCCATGTTCTGAGAGACACCAGGCACACAACTCACACTGCACATCAACACTGCGTGCAACGCTAAAGGTGGAGGCTGCTGCAAAGCCTTCACGGCAATACCAAGAGCAACACCAACGACACAAAAGACATGCAGAGGAGAAGCAACACACCTGCAAGACAAGGACAAGGGCAACCTGGCCAATCAGCTCAAACCCTGAAAAATGTGGATTTCTCTAGATGCCTGGTGGGGAATTATTAAACTCTAAAAAGAGCAAGCATTAAATACTAATTTCCTGACTTCCTCCTCCAAATTATCTTCTACTACTCCCAGATCAAAATTCCACAAAGGGAGACCTCAGAAACCACTATCAATGGATCAATTCCATCCAGAGTTTCATGATCTAGAAGTTTCCCATCATCCCTTGCCCAGATGCTCACTCCGGTCCACCATCAAACGTCTACTCCAAGGCTACTATGTGTCAGACACTCTACCAGGCTGGACACCCAAGAGTGAACACGAGTGAAACCTTATGCTCTTAGGGAGCTTACGCTCCAGCAGAATTCTCCCTGGACGTGAAGTAGGAAAAGGTTGGAAAAGCACTGAATAATGCCTTAATAAATGATCAGCTGAACAATAAACTTCTATTAAGGGACAAACAAAAAAAAAAACACAACTGGCAAGAAACAGGTATCTCTGGGTTTCTATTGAGAATCCAAGATTGTCATAATTTTAAATTGGCATAAAAGAAAACCAGTCTCCCAGTCACATCACGAGATAAAAATCATGTTTGAGACCACCGCAAACTCTTACTAAGTGAAAGGTGGGCTTTTTAGCAAAACTTTACCTTTTTCTCAGGTTTGTTGTGCTCTCTGTTCTTCTCCCTGTCCGGGTCCCGGGAGTGCTCCCCATTTTTCACTCCCCGCCTGTCCCTGTCCTTCCCCTTGTCCCAGTCATGCTCCCGGTCCCTGTCTCTCAGTCTCTCCTTCTCTTTTCCCCCCTCACTCTTTCTCTCTGTCTCCTTCTGGTGCTCAGAGTCTCGGACCCGCTCCCGGTTGCCGCGGTCTTTCTGCCGCTCACTCTCTGGCCGGGCCCGGGCTCTGGCTCTCTCTCTCTCTCCTTCTCTGTGTCTGTCTCCACCATTCTCCTTGGCCTTCTCCTTGCCCTTGTCCTTTTCTCTTGGCTTGCTGTCTTCTTTCAATTCTTCTTTCTGTTTTTGATCTCTGCTTGTACTTCTCTCTTTTATTTCAGAGTCTCTTCTACCCTAAAAAATAAAAATAAAATCATTTATGAATTTTTTACCTAAATTACAAAAAGACTCACTATTTGGTTTTCAAAGAAGTGCAACCTGCAATTCACCTCTGTATCTTTGTGAACTCTGGACTCTTCCTGCACATTCTTATTATCCAGTTCCTGAGATCTTGAGGCCAGTGAGGCCCGTCCTTTCACTTCTCCCTTCTCTCCAGCTAACACCCTCCGCACCGCATCATCGCTGGAGAGCTTGTCATCCAAATGTAAGGAAATGAGATGTTAGGTGAAATGTGATCAGCAGGTGTAACAAGCAGAATATCACCATTCAAAGGCAGCTCATAAGACAGATTCAAAAGATAAAATACTTTTTGAAAATGTTGTCTATTATATACGAAGCACAGCATAACCTGATAACTATTACTTTCAGCACACTTCAGTCATTAACAGTAAAGTCCACCCAAGCTAAGTGAATCCTGGTTCACACCTACCCAAGCTGTCAAAAGTGAGTGTGTGCGTTCAAGGTCAATAAAGCTGACCCGCACAACTCTACAAATACCTTAAACTTCTAATGGGATCACAGAATCCCAGCCATAAGTGCCTTAAGGTTTTATCTAACCACCTCATACCCATTAGGATGGCTGCTCCTAAAAAAAACAGAAAACAACAAGCATTGACAAGGATATGGAGAAATTAAAACTCTCATGCAGTGTGCATGGAAATGTAAATGATGCGGCCACCATGGAAAACAGTGTAACAAACTCTCTTGCATTATGGATGGAAATGTAAATAATGAGGCCATCATGGAAAACAGTGTAACAAACTCTCATGCACTGTTGATGGAAATGTAAATGATGGGGCCATCATGGAAAACAGTGTAACAAACTCTCATGCACTGTGGATGGAAATGTAAATGATGAGGCCACCATGGAAAACAGTGTAACAAACTCTCATGCAGTGTGGATGGAAATGTAAATGATGAGGCCATCATGGAAAACAGTGTAACAAACTCTCATGCACTGTTGATGGAAATGTAAATAATGAGGCCATCATGGAAAACAGTGTAACAAACTCTCATGCACTGTTGATGGAAATGTAAATGATGGGGCCATCATGGAAAACAGTGTAACAAACTCTCATGCACTGTGGATGGAAATGTAAATGATGAGGCCACCATGGAAAACAGTGTAACAAACTCTCATGCAGTGTGGATGGAAATGTAAATGATGCCGCCATCATGGAAAACAGTGTAACAAACTCTCATGCACTGTGGATGGAAATGTAAATGATGTGGCCATCATGGAAAACAGTGTAACAAACTCTCATGCAATGTGGATGGAAATGTAAATGATGCAGCCATCATGGAAAACAGTATAACAGTTCCTCAAAAAATTAGGCACAGATTTACCATATGACCCAATAAATCCCCTTCTGGGTATTTATCCCCCCAAAAAAGGAAAACAGGGGCTTGAAGAGATATTTGTATACCCAGGTTCCTAGCAGCATTATTCGTAATAGCTAAAATGTGGGCACAAACTGTACCATTGACAGATGAGAGGATAAGCAAAATATGGTAGATCCTCTACAATGGAATATCATTCAGCCTTACAAAGGGACGGAATTCTGACACATGCCACAACATGGGTAAACCGGGAGAACTCAGACTGCACATAAAGTGAAATTAAGTCAAATATATTAAGTAAAATAAGCCAGTCAAAGAAAAAGACAAATACTCCATGTTCCACTTAACTGAGGTCCGCCAGAGTAGTCAGATTCACAGAGACAGAAAACAGAATGGAGGTTGCCAGGGGTCGGGGGCTGGGAGAAGAGGAAGTGAGTGTTTCATGGGGACAGAGTCTGTTTTGCAAGACGAAGCATCCTGGAGATGGAAGCGGTGATGGCTGCACAACTTGATGAATGAATTTCCCACCACTGAAGTGTACACTTCAACATGGTTAGCATGATACATTTTTTTTTTAGTTGCATTTTAGGTTTTGGGGTACATGTGCGGAACATGCAAGATAGTTGCATAGGTACACACGTGGCAGTGTGATTTGCTGCCTTCCTCCCCTTCACCCACATCTGGCATTTCTCCCCATGCTATCCCTCCCCAACTCCCCCCACCGCTGTCCCTCTCCTATTCCCCCCAACAGACCCCAGTGTGTGATGCTCCCCTCCCTGTGTCCATGTGTTCTCATTGTTCATCACCCGCCTATGAGTGAGAACATGTGGTATTTCATTTTCTGTTCTTGTGTCAGTTTGCTGAGAATGATGTTCTCCAGATTCATCCATGTCCCTACAAAGGACATGAACTCATCGGTTTTGATTGCTGCATAATACTCCATGGTGTATATGTGCCACATTTTCCCAGTTCAGTCTATCATCGATGAGCATTTGGGTTGGTTCCAGGTCTTTGCTATTGTAAACAGTGCTGCAATGAACATTCGTGTGCATGTGTTACATTTTATGTTACATGGATTTTAACACAATAATAAAATTATTGGGGGGGGGAATCTGATCTAATTCAAGCCCCGTCAAATGCAAAACGTATCCCTGACAGCCATCCAGAGTCTATGACACCTCCAGTCAGGAGTCCCACTCACTCACACACTCATTCCACAAGCACACGCTAAGTGACTGCCACGTGCCAGGCTCCATGGGCCAATGACTCACTATGTACTGGGGACACAGACAGACATAACAATGAAACAACAGCCTGTAGGAAGCCTACAGGGGCACCCAAGTCAGCCTGGGAGGGAGGAGAGGCCTGGGCTCAAGGCAGCGCTCATAGATGCCACACTGCTGCTCAATGAGGCTGGAGGAGGAAGGCAGCTCAGGCACTAACAAGCCAGTAAGCACCAGGGCACGAGACTGATGGGAGACAGTGGGCCAGGGCTGAATGCCATGGTGTGTGTGACTGGAGTGGAGGGCTCCGGTGTGGGAAATGAGAGAAGGACCTGAGGGGAAAAAGTAGCAGCAGGTCTCTAGGAGCCTCACAAGCCATGCCATGGAGCTGGCCTGACCCTGAGGCTACTGGAAGTGGAGAAGATTCAGCAGAGGACACAGGAGTCAGATGTGCTTTTCAGAAAGAAGAGCAACATAAAGGACCCGGGAAGGGGATCTGGGGAGCCTGGGGACAGAGGCCAGTGTACCGGCAAAATCTGCTTCCAAGTCTCTAAGCTTACATGCTGGACCTGCACTAGGGCGAGGCCTCCCAGAAGTTGGCTGGACACCCCTACACACCTCCATGACCCACTGCCGTTGAGGGGGCTGAAACCCACCTGTTCCCATGTGCATCACATTTAAGATTAGCCCCCAGCCAACCACCCACTAGGTATGTGGAAAACTGTATTAACTGTACTCTGAGTACAAGCCCAACCTGCTCCTCCAAGGACGACTACTTGGCCTTCAATAGAAGGAAGACGGTGGGGGAAGACCTTCTCCAATGCTCGGGCAAACATGGCCCAGGCTGGACCTAACCAGAGAAGCCTGAGGCCTGACACCCAAGTTTCCAGCCCACTGTGACAAGCTCAGGAAAGAACAAATCTACTCCCTGTACAATTGAAACAGCAACTGGGAGAGAGAGAGAGAAAGAGTAGAGAAGAGAGAGGAAGAATGACAGGTAAGCAAACATCGCAGGAAGAGAACAGAGACCTCCACAAGAAAAAAAGCACATCTGCGATACTCCAGCCCTGGCTGGAAGCAGCTACCTGTCCTCAAGGGAGCCCCAAAAAAGAGAAAGCCAGAGGACATGGAAGCCTGGGCCTGCAGCCTCCAGCTGCCAGCTGGGCACAGAGTGCCTGCAGCATTCCCAATTTTATATTGAAAGCTTGCAGAACTTATATATAACAAACACTTACTTGTTTTGTTCAGTTTTAAATTCCTCCTCCTGGATCTCTAGGGCTCCAGAAGGAGTAGGATCAGATTCAAAGCACAGCGTTTGACAGACGCCTTTGAAAGTCCTTCCTTAAACCGTCCGCACATTTGAGTCCCTCACCCCCGACTGCTTGTTACTCAAGCACTAAGTTCAAAATGCCAGGACGGCAGTAGTAGTACCTTGTTGAGACAGCATTTTCCAATTATCTGGAGCAGCTCATTTGTTCTCTCAGGTTCATGCCCGGCCACAATTCGGGCTGGCTTTGCCAACAGTGGCTCTCCTGAAACCATTACAACCACGTCTATGGCTTTCTGCAGGAAGCTGATTTTTGCATCTTTATCCTGAAATATTTCCATTGAAAATACAAATATTATAATACTTTGAAGAGTTTGCATTATCTTCAGCAGGTTCAACAGGCACAGGATAGTTTCTGTTTACATACAAAGCTATTTTTAGATATATAACAAATCTAGAAATACTGATCTTCACTGGCAAAACAAAATCAATTCAGTAAAGCCTTTAATTTAGTTGACGGGCTAGCATTAAGCTTTGAAATACCAATTCCACTTTTCAGTGAATAAAACTAGCATGACACGCAGTTGCCACAATGAGAAAGGGGATATACATCAATTCATGAATTCACCGACCTTGTATTCCACCCACATGCAGCACAGAAATGACACACCACACCACCTGGATGACAAAAAGTCCCATCCAGTAAGCAAGGGGTCAACAGGAGACACCCGACTCCAACCTACCTTCACGTTATCAGACTTCATCTCGGTGTCTGTGTAGAGGCCCTTCATGAAACCAGTCATTCTAATCACCTTCAAGAGAGAAAAAAAAGGCCACCACTGTCACCTCAGGGACAGCCTCCTCATCCGCCTCATCCACTGAACTCCACACCTGGGAGATGTCAGAATTGACTGGCAGCCCAGACCCATCCACTTACTCAAGAAATACTTGATATCTACTACGCGTGTGTACAGGGCAGAAGCCAGCCAGGTCCTCACAGAATTTAGTGTGGCTGTATGGACAGACGGGTAAAGATGACACCATCCAGATACTAAGGAAGAACTTAGGTTTGGTACCTAGTCCACAATCCAGGAGGGGAAGGGGTGGCAGGAGCCCTTCCTGGAGGAATCACACCTAGATGGGGATCAGAAGGCTTACAGAAGAGTTGGACACACATACCAGATGGAAGAAAGTCCGCATAAGGTCCAGAGTCCTGTGCAAGAAATCCAAAGAAAGGTAGGATGGCAGGAGCCTGAGGCCAGAGAGACACTCGGGGCCTGGTGCAGAGGCCCTTGAAGCCACTCAGGGACATGAACTGAGCCCAAGGACCACGAAGAGGACATGGACAATTCTAAAGCAGGAAAGGGCCTGGCCACACAGCATTTTACAAGAATCCTTCAGGTGCAGTGGAGGGAACAGATTCCAAAAAGAAAAGGAACTTTGGCTGGGCACAGAGGCTCACACCTGTAATCCCAGCACTTTGGGAGGCCAAGGTGGGTGGATCACTTGAGGTCAGGGGTTCAAGATCAACCTGGCCAATGTGGCAAAACCCCATCTCTACTAAAAATACAAAAGTTAACACTGGGTATAGTGGCATGTGCCTGTAGTCCCAGCTACTCGGGAGGCTGAGACAGGAGAATAATTTGAACCCAGGAGGTGGAGGTTGCAGTGAGTCGAGATCGTGCCACTGCACTCCAGCCTGGGTGACAGAGCAAGACTCCCTCTAAAAAAAAAAAAAAATTGTGAGCAATAACTGTAAGTGACAAGAGACATTAATATCACAGGATCCACACTTAGCTTAATGAAAGGGATGGTTAGTTTAGCTGTAGCTTAAATACTAATATGGTGATTTGAGTATAATATTTAGGATAATAAAGCATTTTCATAAGACCCTTTCCACCTATTATCTCAAAATGCTTTCCAATATGTCAGTCATTCTAGCCTCTTTATCAAGTAGGTGACAATTCCTGTATTGATCTTTACACAAGAAGAAAAACGAACTTTGGCATAAATGAGGAAGTCTCTGGGAGTAGAGCAGACCAGTCATTCCTAATTGGGAACACACAACTAGTCCCACACCCTAGCCACCTGGCCAGGAAGGCGATCCTTTTATTTATTTATTTATTTTTTTGAGACAGGGTCTTACTCTGTCACACCGGCTGGAGTGCACTGGTGCAATCACAGCTCACTGCAGCCTCAACCTCCTGAGCTCAAGCGATTCTCCCTACTCAGCTTCCTGAGTAGCTGGGATTACAGGTGCACCACGACACTCGGCTAATTTTTGTATTCTTCGTAGAGCTGGAGTTTTGCCATGTTGGCCAGGCTGGTCTTGAACTCCTGGGCCGAAGTGATCTGCCTACTGTGGCCTTCCAGAGTGCTGGGATTGCAGGTGTGAGCCGCCCCCGGGTGGCCCTTTCCCACGAGGATGCCTCTGACCAGCTATGCAGTAGTGACTGGACCGTCACCAAGAGCTGAGCTGCACCACTACCCCACAAGGATAAGACACACTCCCTGCACCTCACTCCTAGGGCTCTGCATTTCAGTGGGGCAGGCAGGACTGGGAGAAGATTAAAGGTTTTGGCAGCCACAGCTGTGGTGGGTTGGGCTCACATTGGCTCTTACTTGTTTCCTCTGGGGCAGAGGACGTAGGCCCTGCCTACTTCACAGGAGTGACATGTGCACTGTCCTGCTCCTACAAGCCTATCCACACGGCAGGTCCCCTCCCCACACACTGCCCAGGACAAGCTGTAAGTGCTGCACCAGTTGGGAGGACATAACCAGGGCTGGCGGTGCCCTGGGATGTGGGTGGATTCAAGAGCATTTTTAAGCACTGTCTTAACACAGAGGCACAGGCTCCAGGAGAGCGTACACTGGAAGCCAAGGTAGGAGGGCAGAACCAGAAGAGCGATGTCTGTGTAAGAATACGGCACCCAACCTGTAGAAAAGAGTGAGAACTGGAGCTTAAGGCCCATCACCAGGTTAGCTCATGAGCCCCCGGAAGTCTCCAAGTCCGACCTGAATCCTCAATCCCAGAACACACCTCTGAGTTCCCATGTGCCCTTGGGTGCACCCTGCAAATGGGTGCTGCACCCCCTGCAGTGACGCTCCTGAGAGTTACCAGGGAGTTACCCGGAGCCGTGACAGGTCCCACGCAACAGGGGATGTTTGCTGTGAATTTCTATGTACCTGATCCAGGGCAGATCACCAGAGCCATGCTGACAAGCAGGGTCTCCGTCACTAAGGAGCACGCCACCCGCAAGCGGGGAAAAGCCACACAGACCACCAATCTTCAATTTAGGGCAGGCTATGCGGCTCTGTTACAGCTGTTCCTACCAAGTCTCCCCACAACCACCTCCACTAAATTCACCCACAGACATTTATCAAGCACCCAAAATAGGGTATGGAGGGCAGCTTTGAGGCAGGAGAGTTGTACAAAAAATATTATTTCCATTGTCCCAGGATTTAGGGAGCGCCTTCCATGTGTTACATGCTCCAGCGCAAGCGAGAGGGGTTCCCCAGGGTTACACAAGGAGGGAGCAGAATGGAAGATGCGCTCTAAAGAGATACACGGACAGGCAGGGAAGAAGTTAAGAATGCTCCCCGAGGGCCCGGAGCCTCCCTGTAAGCGGCCGGGAGCGGGGGAAGGGGTCAGACGTCCGCGAGGAGGGCGCCGCGGAATTGGGCCTACAGGCCGGGCTCCGGGGCAGGGGCTGCACAGAGCTCTGGCCCCGACCCCGGGACTGACTGCAGCCCCCTAACCGCACCCCGCGCCCGGCCCTGACCCAGTCCCCGACCTGCACCCCGACCCCGGCCCACACCGGGTCCACACTCGGCCCTGACCTGGTCCCCTACCTGCACCTCGAGCCCGGCCCGGGCCCTGACCCCGGCCCAGCCCCGGCCCCCGACCCTGGCTAACACCCGGCGCCCACCGGGACCCCGACCCGCCCCTGGCCTGGCGCGGCCCCCGGCGCCCACCTCGGTGATGATGTCGTGCAGGTAGCGGAACGGGGGCTTGCTCAGCAGCTTCTCCGTCAGCGGCGGCCTCCGGATCACCTTCCCCAGCGCCTCCTGCGTCCGCCTCACCACCGCCGAATTCATGGCAGCCTCCGCTGCCCGCGCCCCTCAGCCGACCCGGCCGAGCCTAAGCCCGGGTCCCTGGCCGCCGCCTGCCCCGCCGCCGTCGCCCGCCCCGCAGCCACAGCCCGGTCCCGCCAGGACGCGCCGCTACGGTTTCCATCCCACAGTGCACCGGAGCCCGCCACGGCGCCTGCGCGGAAGCCGCAAGGCGTTCGGTCGCTAGGGCTGCGCGGCCTTAGCAACGGACGCGCCGCGGCGCCCCATCCGCGTCTACCGTCCTGCGCCGGCGCAAACAAGAGGGGGATTCCGCCGGAGGGGGGGGGGCGGGGGGGCGTCCGCGCGTGCGCAGACGAGGGGGGCGCGGCGGGGCGGGGGAAGGTGGTCCGGGGTCCCGCGCCTCGCCCCTCCAATGCGGAGCGACGGCCTCGCGAAGTGGGTGTTGGCTCGCCTTAGAGGCCACCGCCTGAGGACTGATGCACAGCGGGGTAAACCAAGATCTGGGCCGCCTGCTTCCCAAATCTCAAGGGCTTTCGCGGGCACTGGTTCATCGGAGGGGATGGAGCTGTTATCCCAAAACACACGGAATGGAAAATAGACTGTCCTGGCCGGGCGCGGTGGCTCACGCCTGTAATCCCAGCACTTTGGGAGGCCCAGGCGGGCGGATCAGTAGGTCAAGAGATCGAGACCATCCTGGCCAACATGGTGAAACCCCGTCTCTACTGAAAATACAAAAATCAGCCGGTCGTGGTGGTGTGTGCCTGTAACCCCAACTACTTGGAAGGCTGAGGAATCGCTTGAACCCCGGGGGCCAGAGACTGCAGTGAGCCGAAGTCGCGCCACCGCACCCCAGCCTGGGCAACACAGCAAAACTCTGTCTTTAAAAACAAACAAACAAAAAGTATAAAATTCTAACTTGACTGGGTTTTGTTTTTTTTTTTTCCGTACTTTAAGGATGTTACCCCATTGACTTCTGGCTTGCATAGGTTCAGAATAAAAATCTTCCATACAGCCAGGCGTTGTGGCTCACGCCTGTAATCCCAGCACCTTGGGAAGCCGAGGTGGGCACCTGAGGTCACGAGTTCAAGACCAGCCTGACCAACGTGGAGAAACCCCGTCTGTACTAAAAATATAAAATTAGCCGGGTGGGCATGGTGGCGCATGCCTGCAGTACCAGCTACTCGGGAGGCTGAGCCAGGAGAATCACTTGAACCTGGGAGACGGAGGTTGCAATCAGCCGAGATCACTATTACACTCTAGCCTGGGCAACAAGAGTGAAACTCCGTCTCAAAGAAAAAAAGTCTTCTGTAATTCTTTGTTCTGTCTATTGTGTTTCTGGCAGCCTTCAAGATTTTATTTATATTATTGGTTTACCAGAAGTCTGCACGTGGTATATCTAGATGTGGGGGTCTCTTTTGCCTAAAATTTGTATTTTATTATTTACATACAATAAAATTCATGCATTTTAAGTATGCAGGTTGGTACAGCTTGGTAATTATTTCTAATTATGTGACCACCACCACAGTCAAAATATACAACTGTCCCTGCGCCCTCAAAGACTTCTTGCTGCTTATTTGCAGCCTATCTCCTTCCCCACCCGAGTTCCAGGCAACCACTAATCTGGTTTCTGTCACTGTAATTTTGCTTCTTCTAGAATTTCATATAAATGCAATCATGTAGCACATAGTCTTTTGTATTTTATTATTTCTCTTGTAATATTTTTGCCGTTCCTTTTTGTGGCTGAATGGTATTCCGTAGTATAATTTGTTTATTCATCAGTTGATGGACATTTGGGTTGCTTTCGGTTTTTTATTTTTTGTGAACAATTCTGCTGGCCAGGCACGGTGGCTCACACCTGTAATCCCAGCACTTTGGGAGGCCAAGGTGGGCGGATCACTTAAGGTCAGGGGTTCAAGATCAGCCTGGCCAACGTAGTGAAACCCAGTCTCTACTAAAAATTCAAATATTAGCCAGTCATGGTAATGTGTGCCTGTAATTTCAGCTACTCAGGAGGCTGAGACAGAAGAAATGGTTGAATCTGGGAGGCAGAGGTTGCAGTGGGCCGGGATCACACCACTGCACTCCAACCTGGGTGACAGAGTGAGACTCCGTCTCAAAAAGAAAAAAAAAATGCTGCTATGACCATTCACTTATAAGTCTTTGTGAAAGTTTTCATTTCTATTGTATTGGAATTGTTGGGTTGTGTGGTAAGTACATGTTTAACTCTACAAATACTACCATACTGGTTTTAAAGTGGCTACATCATCATTCATTCCCACTAGCAATATGTTGAATCCCAGGTTGCTCCATATCCCTGCCAACATCTGGTATTAGCAGTCTTTTTCATTGTTGTCCTTTTTTTCTTTTTTTTTTTGTGATGGAGTCTCGCTCTATCGCCCAGGCTGGAGTACGGTGGCATGATCTAGGCTCACGGCAACCTCCGCCTCCTAAGTTCTAGTGTTTCTCCTGTTTCAGCCTCCTGAGTAACTGGAATTACAGGTACTCACCACTACGCCTGGCTAATTTTTGTATTTTCAGTAGGGATGGAGTTTTGGCATTTTAGCCAGGCTGGTCTCGAACACCTGACCTCAACTAATCCACCTGCCTTGGCCTCCCAAAGTGCTAGGATTACAGGCTTGAGCCAGCACGCCCAGACTGTCAGTCTTTTTAACGTTGTCTTTCTATGGGCGTGAAATGATGTCTTGTTACAGTTCATATTTACATTTCTGTAGTGATTCATGATTTTGAGTGATTCATGATTCATAGATCTCTAGTGAAGTCAGCCAGCCCGTCGAGCATCATTCAAGCATGTACTGAATCACTGCTGTGTATAGAGTACTGTCTAGGTGCTGTGGATTTCATGGGGAGTTAAGACCTTCCAGAAGGCTACGTCAGTGCTGTCCACGGTCCTGAGAATATCACTCCTCATGCAGCTAACTATATCCATGAGCAAGTGAGCTTTGGTGGCCTGGACAGAGCCAGATGAAAGGGGCCAGGGCTCATCTCCTAACTGTCAGCCTCATTTCCTTTCATACTGCACCTTGCAAGTGGGCTGGCTGGGTGACACTCGGCCGACAGGCTGGGAGAAGCCCAGGAGAGAGACAGCCCATGACTGAGGGAGTTTAGCGACACTCATCCTAAGGAACCATCCCCTCCTCTGTGGGGAAAACAAGCCCCCAAGGAGTTGTGCCCTCAGAGGGATTCCATCCTGGCTGCCTCCATTTCTAACCCTGCTCCTTGGCCAGAGTGCCGCCAGCCTCTGCCCCCTGCCTCATGAAGTCTTCCTGACTGTGGAAACTCCACTCCCACCTGCAGAAGCTTTTGTGATTTTCGCTCCATTCCCTTTCTCTCAGCACTACACTTCCCAGAGTAGAGGGTCTCCAGTCCAGACTCACACCACCCCGAAGACCTCAGCAGGACAGTTCGCCATGACATTTGGCACTGCAGTCTCTTGGAACAGTCCAAGATGACAGTGGACACTGGATCACACTCTCTCTCTAGGGCTCTCAAATTCCCATTCTCCTGATTGTCCATGTGTGTCCTTATCACACACATACCTGCTTCCTGAGAACAAGCATTAATTCTCCAACAGTCCATCAAACCCCATAAAGAGAAACAAAACAGTTTCTATACTGCCCTGTCATTTGCAAACATCCCTCGCCCGGTGAAAGTAACACTCCACATGAACATGGAGAATGCTGTTAGCTCCCTGCATTCCTTCATTCCACCTTTCCTGCCCACCACCCGCCCCCTCCTCAGGCCTCCCTAAGAGTTTTCACAGGAAGGGGCATGGTGAGACTGTGCACTTCTTCACAGCTGGGCCTCATTTCACAGAGGCTGGCCTAAAGCTCTGAAACGATGAAGCCCTTCGGGAAGGCTGCAGCAGCCTCCTGCCCCCAGGCATTAGAGTGAGGGGGGTCATCTTCGCAGGACGGACAGGTGAGGCCCTCAGGGACGCTGCGTCAGATGCAGGTGATGCTGTGGCCGCTGAGAGTGGTAGTGTCTTCCCAAACTGGAGGAAGCCCAGCTCGGACGCCTTCTCTGATCTGCCCACCGTGGCCACGCTGGGAGCCAAGATGCTCCTGCACGGGCCTGTCCCTCTCTGAGCTTTGAGCTGGCTGGGGTTGACCTGAGTGGTGGTGAAAGGAGCATTCGGACCTCAAGCACCCTGCCTTCTGAACGCCGTTCCCCAGAGCAGAGCTCCCCAGCTCCCACCCCGGAAAGTTCCCTCAGCGCAGCATCCTCCTCTGGGCCTGATGGCCAGAAACCTTCTTGTCTAACAGTGGCCAGCCTGAGTGGTGGGAGAGGTAGTTGTGGCCTGGAAAACCTTCGTGCCCCTGAGGTTCTGCCAAGCACCCTGAGACAGTGCCACCCAAGGGGGAAGCTGGTTCCTACCTCTCCCCAGCCTGTGGAGAGCAGGAACCCGTGGGCCAGGCCTTGTGGAGGCCCTGAGGGCCCAGGGCCTAGGGCCTGGCTGCTCTCTTTGGAACTGTGAGCCATCGGAGACCCTCTGGTCCACCTGGGCATCAGGACCTCTGAAGGGATCTGGAATAAGGGAGCAGAATCACCCAGTCCCACCAAGATCCTGACTGGAAGAGGCGGCCGGGAGTGGACATGCGTCCCTGGACAGTGTTTGGGGAGCATGGACTCTCTTCCATGCCACTCACTGCATCTCCCAAGGCCCCAACGCTGCCTGGAGGTGAGTCTTCACCCTCTGCACCAAGGGAGGGAGGACAGACAGGCATCCTGGGCCCTTGGAAAGCAGGTCTAAGAAGAGGCAGCCAAGGATTCCTGACTCCAAGAAAGAGACCTGCAACCAGGGCCTCCCAGGGCAGGAAGGTCCAGACAGCAGCCTGAGGCCTCCAGTTCCAAAGGCTCCAGACCAGGTAGGAGGAACGGCGTAGCCTAAATTACCCCTAAGCTTCTCAGAGTCCTCAAAGCATTGGAGGGAAAGGCAGGGAACAACAACAACAAAAAGAGTCCTTCATTAAAAAAAAAAAAGGTAATTGATTAAACAACTATAGAAAATCACAGCAAAGAAAGTGGAACATAAAAGGCTGGCGGGAGATGCTTTTGAAATCAACAGCTTCTGAATGAATGATAACCATGGGCCTGACTCACTCCAGGAGAGAGAAGCCACAAAGCTTCCAGTGTGTCTCCCAGGCCCTGCCTCCCCTCACCAGGAGGCAAGCATTCCCAGAGACAAAGGCCTGGAGAGG